GGTGGGAGGATGAGGGGGAGAGAAAGGGGGAGAGGAGGGGCCTGGCTCTGGAGTTACCCACCACTCTGTCTCTTCTGGTTTGGGTTTATTTTTATTTTATTTTTTTTTCTTAAATAAAAGACTAGAAAAAGTAAAAAACAAGGAAACAAAAAGCTGAAACCAAAGGGCACTGTTGCTGTGCTGGGCTGTATCTCTGCTGTGGTGGTTTTGGGGGGAGGGGGGGGTCAGACCCAGGAGTGTGGGGTCTCCTGAATGGGGTACCCGGGGTGCTGGGTCATGGCTCTGCTTTGAGCCCTACCCCAACTCTGGGCACTTTGAGGTCAAAAGTGTGGATTGGGGATGCTCTGCCCCAAAATCCTCCCCTCTTGGGCACTCTGCTCAAAGACCAGGGGGCAGGGACCAGGTGAGGCTGCTGCACCATCCTTGCTGGTCCCTGTGCCTCAGTTTCCCCACCAGGCAAACGGAGCCTGTGGTGGTTTGCAGAGTTTCAAAAGCCTCTTGAAAGAGTTTATCAATTTTTGGGCAATGAAAATTTCTCCCTGAGTGGCCTTAAAACTTACCTGATAGCTCTATGCTGATTTATATATATATAAATATATCTATGTGGGGAAGTTGAGATGTGCTGAAGGCTGGGCAGCTGTTGCAGTTGGGTTTTACTCTGCCTCGTTATCTAAAGGACCCAGGTCTGCTTGAATGAGCCACTGACCTGACAGTGGCTCTGAGTGGTAAAATTAATACAGCTGATTTCCCTGCTTGGAACTGCCAGATCTCCTCGTTAAATTAACATGAATATTTGTTAAGAAAAAATAGGAAGGAAGAAAAGGAAGGGGAAAGGTAAGAAAAGTGTGTAATAAAATGCTATGATTGTACTAAGCCCCAGCAGCGCCCGACTCGTGGTGCGTGTGTCCCAGGGCTGCACGGCTGGGAGGCTGCAGAGCAGGGGCTGGGATGCAGGAGGGGGGGCTTGGCTGGGCTGGACATGGGGTGTCCCCATGGCTGAGCCCCCGCCAGCCCCAGCCCCTTCTCCCAGGGTCTCTGCCAGCCCCCCAGCAGTGGCTGCTCACCCACCACCTCTCCAGCTCTGAAACCATCAGCGCCGCTTTTCCAGCCCGTCGCTTCCCATCTCAGCTGATGGAGCTGGCTGGGATCTCCAAGAACCCTTGGGAAGGCAGTGCCCGAGGAGCAGGAGAGCCCTTTGCAGGGGCTGATGATGGACGTGTGCCCACATACACCCCAGCTCATGTCCTAGAAGTGCCAGCAACCCTGCCTGCATCCCTGCCTCCGCAGCCAGCGGGGCTGGCAAGATGTGGGCGAGAGATCCCTGGGGCAGCTTCACCTCAGGCTGGAGAGCACAACCTGCAGAACCTCCTACACATTGAGTAAGGAAAAAAAAAGGTATATATTTATAGATCATACATATGTATATATGCATATGTAATATGTTTGTGCATATATATATATGCATATAGATATGAATGTAGACATGTATCTATAAAGCCTGTGTGTGGGCAGTCCCTGCAGGGCCTGATGCAAAGGGCTTTGCTCAGGTGCAAGGGTGTGTGTGTGTGTGTGTGTGCACAAACAGCCACACACTCTTGCCCCTGAGCATCCCAGCCCTCCAACAGTCCCTTGGGCATTAGGAGGAGCAGGGAACACACACACACACACACACACGATTCATCAGGAGCCGCACAGGGGGCAGGGGGCAAAACCCTGGGGATAATTCCCAGGAAAAGGGGACTGCTGTGAAAGCATCAGTGAGTCTGACAGTACCTGGTAGCTTCCCCAGCTGGTCCTCTTCACTCCTAGTATAGTGACTCGATTTTTTTTCCCCATCAGGAATTCTCAGCTGGGACATGGAATTTAAAACAGACAAGAACCCAGAAGAGCAGTTGGAGAAGGTGGGACTTGGGCTGCAGCCTCGTGCTGGGTCACCTCTGCCCCAGCACCCAGCTAGTCCTAAACCTGCACCTTCCCCCAGTTGCTTCAGATCACATCAAATCCCCACAAAGCAGCCAAATCTCACTGAAGAAAAAAAGAAAGAGGGAAAAAATAATTCAAAAGGCGCCTCTATCCCAGCTCCCCCACCCCCGCTGCTGTTTATTCCCGCTGCCTGGTGAGCGGGTCACTATCTGCTCCCAGCAGACAGGGACTCATTTGCATTTTAATGCAGCGTTTGAGGCAGCACAAACTACCCGTGAGGAGGCAGAGCTGGGGCTGGGCCCCCCTGCACCCCAATGCCCCCCACCTCCGCGGGATGCTCGGCCCCCCTGCTGATGCTTTAAATAACCCTTGAAGAAAGTGATGCACTTGAGAACAGGCAAACAAACAAATCCAACAAGACCCCCCAAAAACCAAGTCCCACGAGCCCTTCGTGCTGCTGAGGGAGAAGGAAGCAAAGGAGGGTGAAAACCAGGGATGTGTCCCCTCCTGAGCTCAGCCCAGCCTT